AGCAAAACAACAGAAAGAACAAATAAAATGAATTATGAAGTCTGTGAACACAAAACTGTCCTTTAGAAGAGGGAGGCTAGTTGAGACCAAAGCACCAAACTGAAGAGTTTTATCATCCAGATTTTGGTAGAAAAAAGAGAAAAACAATAAATTATTAGATTATTGAAATAACCGCCAACATTTGATTTCTAGCTACAATATAGAGACTCAATAGCCATTTATTAAAAAAAATATTCAGAGCAGTAAATAAAGCCAGAACTGTATAAAGTGTGTATACATTTTGCATTTTACATAGCAATGTCTTTATCTGTGTTGCAAAGTTTAGCTTCACCTGATTCACATTAAACAAATACTGTCATTGCATTTTAGGCAATGAAATGTTCATTTCATTATCTAAAGAAGAAATTGAATTTTTGCATCTTTTAATGTATTTCTAATTCTCTATAAAACGGTTTGAGTGGTTTAATAAAAAATCTGGAGAAAATACCATTTTTTAAAAATCCGATTACTCGATTTGTCGTAAAAACAGTCATTAGTTGCAGACTTCCTTCTAACCGCGCTTTCCCCTTTTTTTAGGCGTACATTTCACATAAGGTGCACATGGTGAATAAGCCTTACTGAACTGTTTCCCTGGACTGGAAAGGCTGGAAAGAAGCCTCTCTGTACGTGCGAGTTCTGACTCCTGGGTCCGTTAATAGACCGGTGCCGGCGGACCTCAGGGTCCGCAGGGGTTTGGAAGTTAATAGCAGCTCTGCAAGATGGGATAGTGCAAGACCATTAAGACATTTAAACCCACAAACAGAACTTTAAAATCAATCCTGAGACTGGTGGCGAGCCAATGCAGCGATTTTAAAAGAGGTGTAAAGTGAGCCCACTTCCTGTAGGTTAACACATGAGCTGCAGAGTTTTGTAGCAGCTGAAGGCTGACAGGCCAGAGAGCAGGGCTATTAATGCAGTCTAAATGATTAAAAACAAAAACATGCATCAAAATGTCAGCGTGGCCAGAGAGAGAAGAGGGGTTACTCTGGTTAATAAAATCTTGTTTTGACTACAAGTTTATTAAAAGTGAGCTCAGAGTCAAACAGAACCCCCAGGTTATCTGTTTGTTTGGGAAGATTGCAAAACAACATTTGTAATATTTTCTCTCATCCTCAAGTCCAATTATTAAAGGGGCAGTGTTACATAAAATTCACATTTTGAGCCTTACATCATATTATAATGTTATTGCCTCATTAAAAACCATACCTGGAGTTTTGCTTTGATTCGTTCATGTTTGAGAAATCCTTTAATCTCCATGGCAACCATTCAGCTGTGCAAACTCCTGGGTGGACCTAGCTCCGCCTTCAAGGACGAAGCTCCTCCTCTGAGCTGCAGATTACAAGCTTCTGCTTTACATAGTACCCCTCCCCCATGACAGCCACACTGAGCTCCTTCAGACTAGCCAGCAGCAATTAGCAAACACCTGGTGCACATCTGCTGAGCTCATTATAGGAGCTACTTCTCAGTGCAACGCTGGTAAAAACATCGTTAAAGGTTTGTAGAGAAGCCATGTTGTGATGAGAGTTTCAGAAAAAGCAGGAGTTTTTAAAGAGACAGAGGCCCAGTTTCAATGCATTAAATATTAAAAGTCAATTTCTTTTAAGTCATATCAAAGTTTGATCCTGGTTGAACTGAAGAGACGTCTCTGCCATTCATATCTTTATATCTGAATTGCAATAAAAAAAAACCCACATCAATTAGCTGTTGGTCATCATGAGACATGGAGACATATACCTCTACATTTAAACAATGCATACATATAATATACTATTATGATTACCAAAGGTTCATATCCAAACTGCCAAAGAAGAGAACAGCTGAGCACTGAAGCCTGACTTGAAAGATCTGGGTAATTGGTGTCTACACAACATACATACATACATGCATACATGCATACATACATACACACATACATAGACATACATACATACATACATACATACATACATACATACATACATACATACATACATAGACATACAGACATACATACATACATAGACATACAGACATGCATACATGCATACATACATACATGCATACATACATACATACATGCATGCATGCATACATACATACATACATACATACATACATACATACATACATACATACATACATACATACATACATACATACATACATACATATATAACCATGCTGTATTTCATTGCTGCAGCTCCGACAATTTCTGAGAAGCTCAACTCACAAGAAAGGGGAATAATATGTCGTCTTACTATCATATATCAAAAAAACCCAAACCTAAAACTGAGTTTTTAAGAATTAATGTTCCTTTTTCCCATTTTCTCTCTCATATCAATTTAAATTCCAGCTCTGGGTTTCGGTCTGCAGGTATCACTGAAAGTCATTGGTTTATTCATTAGTGTGTTTAATTCACCCGTAAAGAGACGCAACATCCATCTGCGACAGAAGGAATAAAGATTAATCCATACTTTGACTCTGCCTGCAAGTAAGAGCCTAATTATGTTCTGCATATGGCTGCGATGCATGTGACTCGGTTTGCTTTAAGTAAAGTCTAAAAGATGTATAACTGAACATTAGGCACTTTAGTGAGGGATCTTTTCACTTGTTTTGAACTTTGTCCACTTCTTTGTTTGGACAAAATGAAAAGATTAACACAATCCATCTAATAAACACAGACTGATGTTTGTGGAAGAATATATATTTTGTTACTGATGTGACTCTGCTCCACAGAATGAAAGCCTTAACAAAGCCATTAACAAACTAAATTAGTTCTGCACTGGGCTGATATAACATGTTCATTTAGTGATGGAAGAAAGGCACCATTAAGGAGAAATATCTCAGGAGACCCTAATTACCTCAAATGACAAGTACATGAACACAGAAACAACAGCACCTCTCTGTATCTCTGCTCTTCCTCCTCTCTTGTTGCAGCAATGATTTTTCCTGTCTGTTCTCTAAATGATTCATGTAAGACCCATAAATCCCTCTCCCCCCTCCTGTCCAACTTTTGGCTAAAGCTAACCTTTACTGCCACCTATGTCCAACGCAGGAAAACACCAGGACGCACTTCAGGTTCCTCTATGAGATTTCTGCTCACAAGAACTTGTGACTGTTTTTATATCAGAGGACAACTTAGCTATGAAACAGCATTAATAGCGACGCTTGAATATTTTAAAGAGCTGCTGTTCATTTTACTGTGCCCTGAAGAAAGGCAGTGAGATAATAGCTTCCTTTCAAAAAGCTAATAAAAGCAACGACAGCAAATCATATTAAAAATGCTCTGGGTCTTTATACTTAAATGATGTCCATCCATCCGTCCGTCCATCCATCCATCCGTCCATTGGTTGAAAGTAAACCCTTTATAAACCCATTCATGTCTTCCACTGCCTCTTGTTGAGGGTTTTGTGTCCTGATTTTAGGTTCTTTCTGACTGTTTGTTGGTTACTTCTTGCATAAATAAGATTTGTTTTTTTAATCCCATAACTTGCCCTGAGATTCTGTCCATGAACTTTAAAAACAATATTGGTGACAACAGGACATTTGGGTGATTTCTGGTTTGTTCAAATGAAAGTTTGGAGTTATAAACTGTAACGTTTCTTTTAGAGAGAAGAGCCGACCAGTTCACAAAGATACAGTTCAAACAAGCCTGACCTTCCCAGAAGTCTTCAATGGAAGATTTTCAGATTGATGAAAAGTATTTCACGTTTTAAAGAAACCATCTTTTAAAAGCTTAACGATTAACTGAACTGCAAGAAATCTTTTGTTTCTCTACTCTCTTTTCTGGTATTTTTCCTCCTTGACATTTTGACACTTGCTATAAAATAGTGAGGTAAGTATATTAACTGGTATATTTTTTATAGCTTCAGGGCAGATATTTTACAGAGCTTTAAGGTAGCTTGACGTCCTGGCAGGATGGCTACATGACCCAGAGGGCTGGCAGGGCGACTGCTGATGACATCATGTGTTTACTGATCTCCAATTCCATTACGTCTTGACTTGTTTACGAGTGACGGTAAGACGGAGCAGGAGATAGACGGACAGACTGGGGCTTCAGCTGCTGTAATGGAAGCGCTGCTCCGGTTGATTTACTGGTCCGTCTACATTCTGACCATCAGCTATGAGACACGGATCATGGCTAACAGAACAAGGATCAGTTTACTGGTCCACTTACATTCCGACTTTGGGTAGTGGGAGGTTGGTTTGAACACAAACTTTGACTAGACCTCTCCAAAACCTTCATTTTGTCCTTTTAAAGGCCATTGACAGGAAGACTTGCTGGAGTTCTTTGGACTATTGTACTGCTGCACAACCCAAGTTTGGTTGAACTGATGACTGAAAAATTCTTCTTCTGGATTTTTTGCAGAAAAAAATCTTCTTTTCTGCAAAACATTCCACTTAATGTGGAGAAGCAGCTCATATAGTGATGCAAAGCTCTATCAGGTGTTTGCTAATTACTGCTGGCTAGTCTGAAGGAGCTGAGTGGGAGAGTCACAGGGAAGGGCTGCTCTGTGAGGCCGAAGCTTGTAAACTGCAGATCAGAGGAGGAGCTTCGTCCTTGAAGGCGGAGCTAGGTCCACCCAGGCGTTTTCCATGGTTGCCATGGAGATAAAAGGATTTTTCAAACATCCATGAAAGAATCACAGAAACACTCCAGGTATGTTTTTGAAGAGGGAATAACAACATCACGTGAACTAAAAAAGGTTTTAAGCTTCTTCTTGGTTAAAGTAATTGATTTTTAAGTCGTGTGTGATTTTAGTAGCCATCTATATGACTTTCTCTGCATCCTGCTGCTTCAATTTTTCATTACTAGACAGGTGATTTAAACAATTCTGAAATAAAACATATATATATATATATATATATATATAACAGACAACTGTTGGAACAGAGCACACAGGTTATGCTACAGCAGGGATGGATGGGGGAGACGGAGAGGAGGGAGTGGTTGAGCAAACCTCCATCGATCAGAGAGAAGGAGAGAGAGAGGCAGGACAAGCAGCTCCACTCTGCGTGTTCAGCCCTCCGGACTCCTTCCTCCTCCTCCTCCTCCTCCTCCTCCTCCCGTGGCTTTCTGCCTGCTGATGCTTACTGGAGGTGAAGCTGTGCTTCTCTTGCTTTCATCCCGGTAAATTCATCCCGGATCGACCTCAGTTTTTCCTCCTTTTTTTTCCTTTATTTACATTTTTGACCTGCCATCTCTGATGACAGCGCAGGTGATCAGTTGGTTACCAGACAAACCCTGAGTGAGACGGAGGGATTCAGACCCAGAAGAGTGAACGGGAACACGGAGAGGGAAGCTGCAACTTCTCGGGATTGTGTCCGCCGCTCGGATCTCAGATTCTATCGGCACCGGTAAGGGCGGATTGTGCGCAGCCTGCCGCAACAAAGCAGTTTGTTTCCCCGCTCTCTCTCTCTCTCTCTCTCTCTCTCTCTCTCTCTCTCTCTCTCTCTCTCTCATGTTATAGTGTGTGTGTCCCGGACCACCGCAGCGCGCGCTGCAGGAGAACACGCGCCCCTGCCCGCGTGTATTCCTGTCGTTGTGTTTACGTCGCGAGCTGCTCCAGGTGAAAGGTTGTCACTAGAGACATCCACAGCGCGTGACACACCAGTGAAGTGTTGCATCCGCGTGCTCGTGGGGCAAATGGTGTTTGTTTCCAGAGAGCTTGGTGCGTTTAAGTGCTCGTCTAATTGTCCTGCTGTTGTGTTTTAGTTTGGAAAGTGAATTTACTTTGAACACCTGCCGGGACTGACGTGCTTCTTCTGTTTTCTGATTGGACAGAAGGCTGTTGTTACTGTGGTGTGTACACTACCGGTGTTTTAATTATGAGCAGGTTGATGTTTATATCATCCCAAAACGTCATAAAACCCCAAATCACCGCCGTTCTGAAAAAAGTCACAAAACTAGATGATTGAAATAAGTCTGAAGCTTAAATAATCCAGGGTCAGAGGTGGAGACAAGGTCTGCAGGGAGTTTGTTCGAGATTTAATCTAAATAAATGCGATGCAGACCTAATGAATTCACTTTATTTATATGACACCTTTTCAAAACAGAATTAAACTTCACAGGAATACAATTTTAAAAATCTAATTATGTAGACAGATTCACTGCAATCCCTCACACCAAGCATGTGGTGACAGTAGAAAGGAGCATCTAAATTTTTGCAGGAAGAAAAATCCAACAACTCAATGTTTCTGCAGGAGAACAACGACTTTCTGTCCTTCTTTTGTTTCTTCACCTAGAGAAATGCTGTCAAAAGATAAGATCTGTTCGGTACAATCAAATCTACAGATTTAAAACAAGACCAGGAGACACAACAACAAGCCAGTGATTCTCAAACTGTAAGCTTTTACTCTTTCATAATTTACTAATCACTGAAACATTCCTAATTAAATCGAAGCTTAAGGTGTTAATTTGCAATCATTTGTAAATGAATCATGCTGATTGAACCTCACACATCAGGGGACAATTTGCTTACTATTAATCCAGTGAACTTTAATTTAAAACATAAATGTGAATCATTGATTTTTTTAACTACTATGAATTATTCTTTGTATGAGCAGTCATATTCTATAAAATTAAAGAGTTTACAACACTTTATTGATGTAGCTTTAAATAAAGTCACAAAAAATAACTGATAATTGATTTCATATTTAATGACTAATTTTAAAAAAATCACATGACTTGTCTAAGCCAATCAAAACAGAGACAGACCTTCGACGCTGTTGGTCATTTGGCACTGCCATTCGCTTCTTATACTTATTACCTTAAAACATGGGATCTGTTTAGTTTTCAATTTTCACAAACTATGGAAATAAACTGTCATACAAATGGTGAAATATGAGTCATTTATTCAGCTGAATATTAAAAATAAAAAATGTATTACAGCCCTTTTTCCTTTCATTTTAATTCTGATCTCTAGAGATTATAGAAAGTTATTTTGAATCCTCTTTTATTAAAGTTGGTGCAAAACCCTGGTGGGTTATGAATTGATGCTCCCTCACTATGGAAGACCCCATAGTAGACGGCGCTATTTTACATAAAAAAGAAAGGTTATTACTAAATTAATCACAAAACTCGCAAGGGTAAGAAATAGCAATGGGGCGAAATCATCAGTATTTTATATAAAAAAAACAACAACAATGGAAAAAGTAGTAAAACTCAGATTAAAATAAAAACTTTTACCTTCAGCTTTTTAATAGATTTCTAATTTCAAGAGACCAAAACTGAGAGCTTTTCATAGAATAAATGAAATGAGAAATAAAGTAGGAAATCTTTGTGAAAAATGAAACATTTTTATAAGATTAGATACGTTAGCTAAAGAATAACCATTCTAACTTTACATTCTGCCTAATGTAATTTAATTATTGTAAAGAAAAAATCATAATTGACCTCCATCCCTCACATATTAAAAATGAGCAGCATGCATCGTTGTTTTCCTTTTCTTATGGATAATTATGTTAAATATGTCAGAAATACAATATTTCACATCTCTGCTCTAGAAGAAAATAATGAATATCTTTTAAAAAATATTTTTGCAGGAATTAAATCCCCTGGAAATACTCTGCATACCTTAAATTTATCTGAAAGTGTGTTTGCCTCATGCTGCTCGTCAACCTGCAGTAAGGGCCCTTCAAAGAGGAGAAGCTTGCTGGGTAATTGCTATTTCACTGCATGATTACATTTTTGCATCTTTAAGCATTTTGAGTCTCTGTGAGGTGGGAAAATATTTTGAATGTGGGTAAAACTGAAGTGCTCACCGGCTCACTGTTGAGCTCCTCATTTTTCTTTTTCGGTTTTTAAGAATTCCTGATGACAAAGTTTTAATGGAGAGCTCACCTTTTCTAAACTTTTTTCCTTTAATTATATTCAGGCTGGCAGCAACAGCTGAGTGAGAATCTCTCAGAAGGCTTGCAGTTTTCAGAAGTCATCAATCATTAATGTTTTTATTTTAACCGTAATGCTTATGTAACCCAGGTTATTTTGGGGCAACCCAGATATTTTTAAGACATTTTGTCTCCCTTTGTATTTTTATCCTGCCAACCCCTTTAGTACAAAGGTTGAAATCCTGTGAGATTTTGTGGGATTTGAGGTTGTTAACGTGGATGGCGCCTGGTGTTTGGTCTGGGTGTGGTGTGCAGGGAAGTTTAGCTGCTGCAGGTGCCCTTTAAATGTTTTAAATGATTGTTTTTCATTTCTGACTGTGGTATTCTTACTGAAATGCCTTACAGTTTAATCTTAAGTAGAAAGAGTTTTCTTGGACTTAGAAATTGGAAGAAATGAACTGGTGAGTGTTTGTCCTGTTGTTATGCTAATGCTAACATTAGCATGCTATATTAAGGCTGATGCTATGTTTTGATGTTGAATTATGACCATTGAGCTAATTTGTTCAGTACTGTATATTATTGTCTGATGGTTCAACATTTAACATGCAGTTCTATTATTAATGAAGATGAATAATCTGAATTAATGCCGTTATATTGGGTTATGATAACCAGTCAGGCGAATCATGTATACGTTTGTATATTTCCTCTTACTTATAGGAAGGAAGTGTTTATAGTATTACTAATGACTTGATATTGACTAAGGAAACGGACTCACTGTTGGTCCTGTGTAATCAGGCCTGGTCTTTATCAGTTTATGAATGCTTTTGAAAGAATTCAATTCAATCAACTTCTTTGTAAATATTTGTGGTTGATGGAAAGTTGAACCAGTTATTTGTTGATGAAAGTTTAACTTTTAACTTTAAATATTTTTCTAACTACAGTATAAATCACCTTTTGCACTTTTTTCTTTTTTGTGTTATGCTGAAGACGACACTGATCCTCCCTGAGTCGTATCTTTAAGTCTTCTGATAAATTCCCTCTTACTTTAATTACTTATCACCTTAATTTAAATTGATTGCTGCAACATACATGCTGCACTTACAACCACACTTAATGCTAAAATGCTTATAAATCTGAGCAATTTGATGTTGAATAATGTTATTTTATCCATTTCCAATGCTGTTGCTATGCAATTGGCTGCCATCATTCTAATAAGGATTTCACTCTAAAAGGTGTTTTCTTGAATAACACCAATCAGTTCTTGTTCCGGTTCTGTTTGGGAACTGCAGCAGATTTCATTAAGGAATACTGCAGGTTTGAGTTCTGCTGGCTCCTGGTTGACATTTTATGATTTATGGATTTGATTGTGTGGCTTGTGTTGTATTGAACTGGATGGTATGCAACTGGATTTGAGTCTGAAGCTGATTGCATTAGATCCAGTTGTAACTGGATTGTTCTGGAATGAATTCAAGCGGACTAATTGGATTGGATGTAACTGGATTTGAATTTGACCTGTATGTTTTTCTTTTTGTTTGTTTTTTGTAAAGTGTCCTGGATGACTCTTGTGGGTAATTGGTTTTATTCTAAATAAACTCATGAAGTGAACGGTTTCCCCGGTCTGATGAGCCTGTGAAGCTGCAGATCCAGCCTGCCTTGTTGTTGCTAGCTAAGGGTTGATGCAACAAAGCGCTGCCTCTCTGAAAGCTCCAGTATCAGCTTTAGACACAACAAAAAGAAACACTGCATAACATATTTACTGCAGTAGAGACGTGAAGCAGGAACAGTATTTTTTTTCTACTTGACCTTAGACATTAAAACATCTGTAAACACATGAGCAGGTTGAAAATAAGCAGAGACTGTGACTTCCTCCGGTTTACCTGAACTGTTTGGGCTTATTAACAACTGTTTGTGTTAGATGTTTCCTCTGAGGAGGCAGAGAGATGAACCAATGTTTGGTGCCATGTACCTGCAGACTCATTCTGCTGATAACATTTGTGTATATTTAGTTAGCAATATTTATTGCCTGCCTGTGTTTAATTTTCACCCCAGTTTTCTTCTGTTATTTCTCTAAAATGCAACTGCTTGGGCTTCTTGACATCTCCTATACAGATCTGGCAAAAGTTTATTGCTGGTCTTACGTAGTGTGTGGCGCTATGTGTAATTCATTTTTTTCAAATATAATCAAGCACACTTCCTTTAATACTTGGATTGTTCATTGTTTACTGAATGTGTGATGAATGTCAAAGACTCCAAGGCACAGCAGCAAAAACCTTTTCCCTATTTTCCATATATAGAAAGAATAGTGTCCCCTAGAGGCTCAATTGCAGTGTTGCACAAAACAAAGAAATGATGGGAGTCATTTCTGTGTCTGGCCAGCTGGTTGTACATAAATGCATGTAAACTGACATTTTTAGTACATGAAAATCAGGAACTCTTCTGAAGAATAAGAAAAAATAAATGAAGTCATGCATCGTTTTATTTAAAATGACAACAGAAAGAGTTTTGGTGTCTACACAAATTTTACACTTTATTTACTGTTACTAATTACACTTTCTGAGCCATTTGAAATGAGGTTTGTTGCAATAAGTTGTCAATTTGTTTCTTCATTTTATCAGTTTCACTTTGGCTCTTATGGTCCTTATTCCACTGACTGAACAAATTAAAGTTGTTTTTAGATGTGCAGCTTGTGAAGCTATTGGTGTATCTAAATGTGCTAAATTAATAATTCAGTACATTTGTGTCAAACGTTTCCAGTCAGTTCTATCGTATCGATATCAGCCGATGCTAAACATCAGATATCAGTACTGGAAGTTTAAAAAAGTGGATCAGTGAATCCCTAAGTTTAGCTACATGTTTGCCATTGTCCCAAACTTATGCAAGTTTCAGTTTGTTTGTCTTTTGTTTGCTATTGTTGCAAGATTCTGGATTCAACACACCTTTACAAAATGGCGGCAGTCAAAGGTTGACATGAAGAAGGCAAACGCCACTATTCTGTAAACTTCCTAAAGGTGCCTCACATTTTAACTCCACTTTGTGATCATCTGAAGTTTAGTTATTTTAGAGAAAATCACTTCAAATACTGGGTTCACATTTGTATTTTTTCTCATATCTGAACTAAACTGCAAAGGTAAGGAAAATATGTACTGACACCAGTAAGTCCTGAAAGAATGGAAAACACAACATCACTGCTGGGAGAAATTCCAGGCTTGTCAGCCATGATTACATTCTTCACTGCTGGTGATAGAAATTTTACATGACACAGAGAAAAAACGTTTTATTAAAATCCAACAAATGCAATGTGAAAGTTGAGAGCATTAATGAGTTGGCACATCAAATGTGTTGTCAAGTGCAAGATGTCACGTTGTTGCTTCATCAAAACCAAAGCATGAACAAATGGTCTTTAATTTGATGTTTTCAGTTTTAGTAAAATTATTCACACGCTCATCAACAGGAATATCATTTGATTTCATGGATTTCAGTTATGATGCTGCAGCTGCACTGCTGCCTTGCAGGAAGAAGGTTCAGGGTTTGAATCCCAGCCTGGGCTGTTTCTGCATGGAGTTGGCATGTAGCATGTTCTCCCAGTGCATGCCTGGTTCTGCAGGTGTTCTCCTCTCAGCTCAGAGCTGTCAGGTTAATTTGTCCAATTTGTGTGTCTGTGTGATGGACTGGTGTCTGACTCCGCCTCCCGCCTAATGACTGGTGCAGGTATTCACTGTGATGGATGGATTTTAATCACTTATTTGAACTGTTTTATCTCTTCTGGATAAAAAAAGATGATGCAACAATTTCTTTTAATAACACAGTTTGGTGTGCAAGTTTGCTTTTATTGTGATTTTGTTTCTAATCCACATAAGGGATATTAGAGGCTCATATATTCACACACTGATGTTTGACTGAACGTCCTTTAACAAGCTGCAGAGAAATCAACTCTTTTGGAATAATCCTGTTTAATATTCTGCCTTGGTCGAGCTCATTTAAAGTGGTTGACTTCTTGTCACAGACCAAGCTTTGAAATAAAGTTCATACATTTTCAAAAAGTTTTCCAAAGCCATCTTTGATGCACTTTTGATTATTACGCTGTTGGAACGCCCAACAGTGTCTGTTTTAACACGGTTGTTGATTTTAGTTGAACTTTATTCTGAAGCTGCCACACATAGATTGGTCAGGTTAAGGCTGCAGTATGTAACATTTATAAAAATATTTTCTTACATATTTGTTGAAGCAGTCACTATGTCTTCCTTCTCTCAGTGCTAACAACCAGAGCTGATCAGTGGATGTAAATTTGACCTTTTTCTGTTGTGAATACATGATATGAACAATGCTGAACACAACAGACCAGGGTTAAAACGATTAATCACCATGAATCATTTACTGAAGTAATTGTCAATTATTTTAGTAACTGATTAATCATTAACTGGATTAAATAAACTCTAGAAAAAGGCTATTTGCTAAAAACAACTCGGAGCAGTAATTAAACAAAAACTGGACAAATTATGGATACATTTTGTATTTAATATGTGAATATTTTCTGTTAATTACACCCAGTTAAAAAAACTCATAATAAACCTTTTCTAATTATTAATCTGAAAAATAATCAACAGATCAGCTGATCACTGTGTTGTTGAGTCAAACAGAAGATCTGAACTTTTCTCATGTTGGAAGTATTTTTATTATCTTTGTTCACTAATGGAGTGCTTTTAGGCAATAACATTTTTATTTTCCTATTTAAAAAAGGAACTAAGCGATTTAATTTTTGACTTTTAACATATTTCTAATATTGTATAAAAAGGCTTAAATGGTAAAATAATTTTTAAAATCCAGAATAATCGATTGATTAATAGATTACTAACCTAGCAGTTGGTTGCCGCCCTACAGAATCCTACACTGCAGTGATTTAAAGTGAAGCCCAGATATCCGTCACCGTGTGTGAGACCTGCACTCCTGCTCACCAAAACATGGGAGTCATTAGTGCTGCTTTGTCCTCTCACACGTACCTGAAGTGGTATAAAGCAGCCCACCCAGCGCGGCGTTGCAGCCTTACATGGAAACACACTAACGGCTCTGACTTCAACTCCTTATTCATGAAAGCTCAGGCAGCCAAAACACACACACACACACACACACACACACGCTGCTGCCGCTGCCGCCGTGTGTTTTTGAAAACTTTGGACAACAAGAGACCAGGCAGGAGTGGAAAACGACGTAGACAGAAGGAGTGCAGGAATGGAGGAGCGTCTGTAAGGCCTGAACCCGGAGCTGAGCAGGAACCCAGGGGAAACTCGGCTGCACAGTGAAGTTACTTTGCTTTTTTTCATGTGATGAATATTCATGACCAGCAGGAAGATGGAGGCTGGTGGTTCACTGCGTCCTTTTGATGTATTGCTGATGCAGGCTGCATGCAGCGGTGTTGCAGTGTTTCCCACAGAATTAGGTTGTTCTTGTGGCAGCAGCTGATGTCGGCGGTGGGAGGCGTGTGTGTGATCAGAGCCTCACACACACCTGAACATGTGACTGTTTATAAAGTCTCCACGGTGACAGATTTATTTGCCTTAACAATATGATCAGCTGCCTCCTGCTTACCAGATACATACTGATCCCACACAACCTGCAAATAATCAGTTATTTAGAGTGACGTTAATTAGAGGAGTTGGTTGCCATCTTTAAGCTAGCGGACCGCCAGCCTGTTTAATTTTTCTATAGCATATAACTCCAGGTTATTGGAGAGAAATATGCTAGTTCATGGAGCATATCTAAAATAATCAGAAAACATGACTGCTTGGGAAGCTGAAATACGTTGGCACTGTGCTACATGTGATTGTCCTTGGTGCTGATTGGCTGTAGCCCAACCAAAAACGGTAGACTGTAGATGTTAGCTTCCACGACATCCACTGTGTATGAAAGCATATTATCGTATATTTGGTTTTTGAACTATTAAAAAGGCAGCTGTGAATGTTCAGAGTGCAAAATGTCTTAAATTTTCTGCTTAGAAATTTGAACATCAACCAAAGTAAAAATATTGACCTGAAACTGTTCAGGTCTCAGTCAGTGAGGTAAGAAAAACGTGAAACGCAGAGAGTATGTAAACATCTGGCCTCGGTCATTGTTGTCAGAGTTGGCGTTGAGAAGCGGATCATCGTAATGAACTTTGTGGCTTGCAGCAGCCAGCTGTGGCGTTAACATGTCTCTCCTGTCTCTCTTGGGCAGGAGCGGCGGCTTCGTTTCATCCAGACATGGATTTTCTGGACCTGCGGTTCTTCAACAGCTCCTTTTTCAACGAAAATTTCACCGATGACTTCAACAAGACGGAGACAGAAGCCCTGCTGCCAGCGGGCTTCAGGGTCACCATCGTGGTGGTCTACATGATCGTCTGCGTCTTCGGCCTGGTGGGGAATTTCCTGGTCATGTACGTCATCATCAGGTGAGCCCAGAACGCTTCCTTCATTTTACCAGGTTTGTTTTACAGTGATGTCAACGCTGCATGTCTAGCAGCTAAACCAAGCATGAAATGCAAACAGGCCACTTTTTACCATTTCATTAAAATCCTGCTGGTAAGTATGGATCAGCAGCAGGTTAGTTTCATGCTTAAAGCTTTTATAAATCTGTAATTAAGTTGAAAAATCTTATTTAGCTTTTATTTTGTAGTGTAAAACTGAAACAAGTGTAACAAAGTAAAACACCTTTTTTGTGAAACTTGATTTATTTGGTGCCCAGAGGTAGAAACTTTTACCTGAGTAACTTTTCTGAAAAATGTAATTTCACCAGACTGTCATCTTTACTGTTTCTTGAGTTATGAAGGTGTTGCTTTTTCACTTAAGCATAATTTCTGCATAAACTGCCAAATAACTTCTCTAAATAAAGAACCATCATATTTAACCAGAAATACAAACACAACTACTGATATGTTAAAGTGAGACTTTAATATGTTTTTTCATTCATAAAAACATCTGGTTACTTTTTATTTGAGTAAAATGATGCTGAAGTTATGTTTTTCTTACTGGAGTATAATTTTTGCTGCCTTTCTTCATCAACCCTCTAACATGTCAGGTGTTGCCTCCAGGATTTCAGACAAACATTGTGGATTTGTTGAAAGTTTGTTTTGCTGCAGCTTCTGTTTGTGTATGTCTATGATTATAATAGTCCTCAGAAAAAGACTCGCATCAATACAATAGTTTGCAGAACTTTAGCCTCATTGAAAAGGCAAATATTTGGTATCTGGAGGCTTCCATGTTAAGCAAACCAACAGGAAGCTCTGACCACACGTTAGCTTGGCAATGAAGTTCAGGAAAATGTGAGTTTTTGTCATATTCAACCTTATAACTCTGAAATGTTCTGTCAGGTTCAAACCAGGACTCAGGCTGGGAACAGTTCTGTTTATTTTAAAGCTAACTATTTTCTGTAAACTCTGAAAAACCACCCATAACTTGTGGTGAGCAAAATATGCGTCAAAGTGTGTCACGCTGAAAGGCTTTCAGCTGTTTCACATGACAACAAGCCTCATCACACAATGTCACCATCTGAGGATCCTACACTTGTTAACCTTTAGTTCCTGCAAAGAGTCATTGATAAATATCTGAGTTCTGTGAATGGCTTGTACAATGTTTCTTCACAAACTCATTCAACAGGCTCCTCCTTTGTTCCCCATCCCGGTCTGCAGGATGCAGGAAGAGACGGTGCATTCGCCCTAAAGGTGAATGCCTCCGCTCCCCTGTGACGCTCTGAAGGGACAAATAGGCATCGCTAATGGATGGATTGAAGAGAAATGTCCCTCACTTTCCCTTGCTTCTTTCATGCAAACGTGTAATTGCTCAATCTAACTAAAAATCTGTGTCGAATTCTCCAGTGCCAGCTCTGTCAGGCAAGAACATCACAATGTCCAGAAAACAGTTTGGAAAAAGGACAAGAAGCGCAAAAACTTCCAATTTTACCTGATGTTTTTAAAGGTTTATTAGTGATTAATATTCAATTGAATGTGATTCCACACAGTATTTCTGAATTATATTGAATCCAATATTAGTATTGCTGTTAGGGCTGATAACTGATATTTATCAATACAATATATTTTTCTTCTGACCTTTTTATCAACTTGGAAAAAACAACCACATTACTGACTTCACCACCGCTTCTCTGCTTCAATTACACGACCCACAATCCTTTGCTGCATCACTGTCACATGACCGACCTCTGCTATTTCCCCTCCAGAAACAAACAGCGACAAGATGGAAGTAAATATTGGGTGTTAATATTGGCCCAGTTCCAGTTTCATTTATTGAGCCGACACCAAAATTTAACTAATGTATTGATTCCGATGTTAGATAATACAGTCAATAATATACATATATATTTATATCAGTTCATTCATTTAAGCTTGATTTGAAGGCTAAACTATGAACTACATGCCTCTTAAACAGCTTCTGTTTAATTTTGAGTTTATTACTTGCTGGTTGAGTTAATGAATTTAGCCTTTTTTAAAGTGTCGTCAAAGAAAAGACTAAAGGAAACAATACAAACAAATAAAGAACAACATTCAGTTAAGATAAATTGTATTAATTCTTTTTAAGTACATGAAAGAAGCAACACTTAACCTACAAACTCATGTCCTTTGAAAGCAGAAATGCATTCTTACCGACACAATGCTCTTTCTTTTTCAGATAATCCGGTTAAATAACCGGCCAGTTACATCGCTGTGGAAGAGAAACTCTTTTGTATATCGAGTGCAACTGAAATTTTTCTTCCCCCCGACATATACTGAAAGTTTTGTCTCTGGTGGTGTGCCTACGTGAGGTAGAGAGAAAAACGAGCAAACAAAAGTCAGAGAGCTGCGACGGTCGCGTGTCGACTGTGGGAGGCCAGAACGGTCGAGGGAGAGGAGAGCACTACCAAGTCTTAGCAGTGGCTCAGAAACGGCTGCTGCTGCTGCTGCTTGGCCTCGAACTGAAGTGGAGACGTACCAAAACTAAAAAGCCAGAAACACGCAGGCAATGGAGAGGAAAAGGAAAACAGGAGCAGTAAACTTCAGGACAACACAGACAAACTGGGACAAAACATTCAGGCAGAATATTGAAGCAAAACAAATAACTGCTCAGTTTTGGTTCACAGTTGTAACTAAAGTGGAGATGCTGATCTTTAACTGATGGTGCAAAAGCAAACAGTACAGCATGCAAACAGATACTGTCTGTCAGACACGGGGGAGGAGGGCTGGTGCTGTGGGGTGGAACTGCAGCCACAGCAGCAGGACATTCTGGAGTCAGTCGACTCAAACACTGAACCAAATCCACAGCAGAATGGCTGCAAAGAATGGCCCAGTCAAAGTCAAAACACTAATACATAGAAAATACTTTATTGTGATTTCTGGCAACAATTTAGGCGCAGTTCTTCTTCTTCCAGGTTGCCTTGTTTCATCGTGAAATCTCTACTTAAAAACTGCAGTTTGTGTTTACTCCGGTTTGGTTGTCTGATAATAAAATCAGGTTTAGTATATACTCTTAAAAACATGTAAAGGCTAGAGATCATCTGATGTCGTCCTCTTTGTAAACAGAAATCAATAAAAGTCGCAGCGCCGCTGGGAAGCCCCCGAGTGAGTGTTGTTTTGATTTCCCCAGCCTTCCATTGGCTCGTCCCCTGACAGCACTTTGCATGTTTCCACCGCTCAGTGGTGTCAGAATGAAAACAGAGCAAAAACAAGAGAGTTGTAGCTTTCAGCGGGAGCATACCGCAGTGCAGATGATAAGCAGGGATTCCAGAGCTTCTGTTCATCGCTGCTCATACAAAAGTGAACACAGAAAATATAACAGCCTGGAAGGAGACGGTGGACAGCTGGGGCCGAGCTTCAAGTTGTCCTCCTAACATGGCTTTTCTTCTTCTTCTTAAGGGGGGAAAACGGCTGCCTGCTGGGGATCCTGTGAGAAAAATGGGCTCTGTTTCCATAACAACAGACAGGTTTTACAGTATAGAACATAGCCAGCCCAAAGAATCACAGTAACATTCCCCCTCAGAGGGAAAACAACAGAGGAAGGAGGAAAGTGAAAGAAATCTCGCATGGCTTCACAGAAACACGCCTTGAAGGAACCGGCTCAAGTGGAAATCATGTTTCAAAATAAGTGTGTTCAGAATCTCAAAGCTGCACTCTGATTGGAGGAGATTTCCAATTAAAAAATCATCAATACATATAGGAGAGAAAAAATAATGTGGAACCTTTATTGATCTCAGTTTGGGTTCAGGGTGAAATGGTGTACTAGGAAAATCAACATCAAAATATTCACAAATGTATAAAGAGTTTGTTTAAACAAAACCTTTAACATGGATGGTAGATCACTTTATTCATCCCCAGGTTTCAGGTATCCAGTAGCTGATAAAAAAACCTACATGCATGAGTAGGATGAAAATATATTAAACTAAGACACTACCAAAGTAAGAGTTTATAAAAATAACTGACTACTGTAGCTAACAGATGAAAGCGATAAATATAGCAGATGAAAACAAGCATAAGCAGTTTTCTCCTTCTCCCTTATACACCATGTGAAGTTTTTTAAAATGTTATTTTATTAATATGTTTTTCTACTATGTATCTAATATTTCTGATGATGGCTGAATGATGCCCATTTCTTGTCTTCTGATCCTGGTATGAATGTTGGGCTAAACATTAGCCTTCAGACATAAAGCGACCGTTGGGTCGCAGTGCAGGAAACAAAATGCAGAGGAACATTTTAAAATTTAAATCAGTTAAAATCATCGACAAAAAACCTCTGAGCTCACAAAGGCTGTGCAACATGTTGATTTCTGACTAATTCTGACTAATGTTTGTTAGTAAAGGAGTGAAGAAAGAATGAACATGCAGACAAAAATGACAGAACAGATAACATGAGTCAGTTAGAAGATTCAAAGTGAATTTCCTTCATGCAGGAGGTTGTTACCTAACAGCTTAGGAAACTGCTTTTTTGGCCAGGCAGAAATACACTGCTCAAAAAAATAAAGGGAACACTCAAATAACACATCCTAGATGTGAATGAATGAAATATTCTCATTGAATACTTTGTTCTGTACAAAGTTGAATGTGCTGACAACAAAATCACACAAAAATCATCAATGGAAATCAAATTTATTCACCAATGGAGGCCTGGATTTGGAGCCACACACAAAATTAAAGTGAAATGTTCCCTTTATTTTTTTGAGCAGTATATTTAAATTAGTCTCCATTTTATGGATGGAGAAAAGATTAAATTATTTGTGAAGCATTAAGGATTTCTGCTGTAAATTTAAAGCACCGCCTAACATCTCAGGCAGTCCAAACGTTTCAAAGAAAACAAACAAAAAGATTTACTTGAGGAGCCTTTTAAGAGAAGCAAACAAGTAAAGTGAAAAGATTCATCTCTAAAGCTGTTTGACTTTAGCTTGTCAAACAGCACCAGAAGTGGATTCAGT